ACTATTTAAAAAAGTGTAAAATAAAAGTTTTTTTTTTTAAAAAAATACCATGAAAATTTTCTTAAAGTATATTGTATAAATAAAAAAAAAATGGTTTAGTGTAGAAAAAGGAAAAAAAAGAAAACTATTACTAAATTAAACAATACAATAGCCCAGCTCTCTATACAAGGAATAGCTGATATCAGTGAATGATAAAAGCGCTGATTAAACTAGCTTTGAATAATTTTAATTTTTTTTTTTTTGAAGGAATAAAACAAGAATGATGAACGGAGCAGAAGCAACAATTGAAAATATCAATTCAATTTCATTGTTATCTATTGAAAACGAGGAAAACACTTTTTTTTTTTTTAAATCACAGAAATTTATTTGATATAAAAGATTTAATCGAAGAAAAAAAATTGATAATTGTTTTGTAATTTTATGTTTTCAATTAAGACAATAATAATATGAATTAGAAGAGCAATCATGAATTAATAATAATTTATTTTTGATGCAAATTTCAATTGTAATTCAATTTTAAGCTGATTACTAATCTTAAAGTGTTTGACAAACAACATGACATTCCACTTTCCATCACACTTTATTTAATGGCAAAACTACAGTTTCTATTGGTGAAGTTAAATAATAAATTGTTTATTTTTCCTTCTCGATTTTCCTCTTTTTCTTTTTTTTTTTTTTTTTGCGACTCTCAAAGAAGAACGAAATAAACCGAAAACGAAAGTTTATGCTTATTTTGTAAAAAAATTTATACATTTAAAAATTTCATTCCAAAGTTTAGCCTAAACTTAAATTAAGTGAGACTTAAAGTATTATTTAATTAATGAAAATTTTCAAATATAAATTTAATTTTTTTGTAAATAAAAATAAAGCTGATCATTTACAAAAATGCATCATTATATACAATGAACAAATAAAATTTATGCGTTATTATTTTGTTAAAAATGGAATTGAACAAAAATTTATACAAAGAAATTATTTACACAATTACTAAAATTGTTAATTAATTCTATTTTCTTCGATAACAACGTTCCATTTCCATTTTTAATATATTTGCATGCATTCATTTAAAACAATTATGACAATAAACAATTGTAATGAAATTTTAATCTTTCCAATTGATAAAATACTCAAATATTTTAATAAAATAGTTTTAAATTTCCACCTTTTTTTTCTTACTTTCAAATTTCTAATTTTCCTTTTGTTTTTCTTTTTGCTTCAAATAATAAATTTTCCATTTTTGATATTAACTGCATATTGTCATAATATTTGCGCATGTATAATTTATATTTGAAAGTGCGGAATTAAGGAATTTAACTAACGCTGTTCTCCACAGTCATTGTGAATTTAGTCGAAGCTCACCAATTTCGCGGTCACCATACAATCAGAATTCATCTTAAACGTTATAATTTTAGTAAATTAATTGCACGTTGAATTAATTATTGATATATTCAAATATTTTTTTTTTTGTACGCTTTCACGTAATTTACATATTAAATCATTGTTGCTGAAAAATTAAATTAGTTTCTTACTACTTTATTTTTAATTCGTTTATGTTACAAAATAAATAAACCGATTTCTTTTTTTTTTGTTTCTCCCCATTCTTTTTTTATAATTATATTGGAAAATTTTTTGAATTAATAAGAAATAATAAGAATATGAATTGAAAAAAATTAATTTTCAAATGACTTGTGAAGACAATCATTGAATATCACAATTCCATTTCTGATAATCAATGGATAATTAAATTTTTTGTAATAACTATAGATTTCAATGAAATTGTATCGTACGCTAACCTTTATGATGGATAATTTATCATGAAAGAACAATGATCGTATTTTCTTAAAGAGAGAGAGAGAGAGAGAGAAAAAAAAAGAAAGGAAGCTATTTCCGCGTGAAAGGTAAATTGTAAAAACCATTGGAATTAATTAATCAAATTCAAGTAACATTTTTTGGCATTTTCTTAAAAAGTGTCTTGAAGTAATCAATTAAATTAATGAAAACGAAGAAAAGTGTCTTCAAAACATTATCGCCTTGCTATTGCTTAAAAATGTCGCAACCCTAATTTCTGATTTCTTGACCCCAATAATTAGATACAGTAAAATATGTGTCATTTTTGTAAAAATAAAATCTTGTCATCGTTAAATTTTTCCATTTCACTTCAAATTGCAACGATTCTAACTTGTCCTTCTAGTAATTCATTCATTCATCATCCCAAAACATCCTTCATTTATTATCAAAACTTTTTCATAATTTATTCTTTCATGAAAAAAAAAAAAGAAAGAAAACTTAAAAGTATTATGCTTCTTCCACCTCAAATACCTCAAACAGCTCAAAATATTTAAACATTAAAGTAGCATAATTGTATATTTAAACCTAATTTATTTGTATTCGAATAGAATAAATTTAACCTTCATCTTTTATCAACATTCATATAATAAAACGGTAAGATGAAGGAAGGAAAGGTGCTAAAAAGAATGAGGGAGGGAGGGAGGGAACGAAAAAAAAGAAAGTGACAAAAGCGCCGATAACTAAATAAATTTTTATTACTAATGATACTATTAAAATTCATATCCAATTTAATTTTTCAAAAAATATTGATAGCAACAAATAAGAATTTAATGAAAAAAAAAAAAGAAGAAAAGAATGATGTGGAAGAAAAATTGAAAGAATTAAGAAAGTTTGAAATATTTAGAGGAAATAAAATGA